TACAAATATTTATAACTTATACTAAAACGCCGCTCCCGGCTTCGTACGAACGCAATGTATACTATAATATATATGTAAATGTTCCTCTTCGATCATTCTTCTTTATTGCTAAAAACTGCATGGAATCCGATGCCTAGATTAAAAGTTTTAGGGGTACATATAGAAAGAGCAATTTTGTACTATACTATCTATAGATTGTTTTATGAGTCCTGTTGTACCATGTCATATTATGACCATTACTTTGTCTGTTAGTGAAATAACATTAAATTTATTTTATTTCTATCTAAGATGAGCATGACACACCTTTTACTTCAGTACAACAGAACTAAATATTTATTTAGTATTATAAAATATACTTACAAAATTTTGCAGTGTACGATAATGCAGCGGACATGGTACTGCTTAATACTTTTACACAATTCTTTATCTATAACAAAATACAAATTTCAATAAAATGTTGACAAGACAAAATAAGTAAGACCACCAACCAGATATTATGTAAGACATATGATATGGTCAGCATCAGATGATTGTACTTTTGATGCTGACTGTACTAGCTTTGCAAGATTATTTCTTTGTATTAATGAAGGAGAACCCACCTTCATTTTCTTTATCTTTTCTGGAATAACATGTTCGTCATTCAATTTATGTAATAGCCTGACCTCAGCATGACTACAGTCTGTTTTGTAGACATCAACAATATCACTCCATTTGGAAGTTCTCCCATCCATTAATATATTTTTAGTATAAAGTTATTCCGCAACCACTTAATCAAATGACAGGGGTCATAAATAATATTTAAATTCACCCCTCTTATTTTCACAGTGCCATCTGAAAAATAAATTCTATTAAATACAATTTATTTATATAATGTTGATAAACTTTTTTGCTGACTTATTGCATAAGACACTGTTTTGTAATAGGTGGAGGTGACAATAATTCCACTCAATATCTCGACTTCAGTGAACAATGATGGATAAGCAATTTTTTGAGCCGTGATTCCGACGTAATAAAACGAGTCTCGATGTGCTTTTGCCACACGAAAAGCTTCGAAAGCTGATCTTTAGGTAATGCCTTCAAATCATCACGGTTTATACACTTTAACCACATAGTAAGTCTTTTCCAGTTGCCAGGAAAATGATATAATAAAGCGTCCTGTCGCGATCTTTTGCACACACAGCACTCGTAGTACATCGTAAAAGACGTAAAATACGAATAACAATGAAGGCCTAATTGCATTTAAAGTGGAGAGTAATAAGCACAAGTACTTGACTCGATCAACACGTTAAACGCAATATATACAAAGTTACTCTATGAACGCAATAAACAATATGGCCGGCCGGCGTATCATACATGTCATGTGTCATGTCATGCTTGTCAAAGAAGCAATTTCATCAAAATTAAAAAAAGAAATGTCACTTATTTCCAGTAATGGCGGCCGACTATGATTGCATTCCGTTGTATGAAGATTATCCCCCGTGCTATATATGTATGTTTGTTCCTTTGTGGCACACTAGAGACCAAACGCGTGGACCGATTTTGATGATTCATACATCAATCGATTCGTCTCAATCATGGGAGTGCTAGGATAGTAATCAAAATTCAATATGGGCAAAATAGGCGCCATATTGTGATGAAGTAAAAAAAATAAGTTGACAAAATATGTCGAGTGGGGTATCACTGTCTAGATAATCGAAAACCATGTTTAGGTTCCTAACACCATTTTTCATTTTATATGATTGTTTAGGATCTACAACGCTTTAAAGTTGTATATTAACCACTTCCTCTTTTAATTTCAATCTTACGTTTGTATGGAACATTGTTACTCTTTCACTTAAAAATACTGAATGGATTTTAATGAAACTTAACAGTAATATAGCTCATATATGATAATAACATATATATAATAATTTATGTAGTTATTGAGTGAATTGGCCAAAATATAACAATAAGTGTCACATAAAACGGAAAGAAATCTCCCATCTGCGAGCCATTTTGCACTGCAAAAACAATAAAAGTTATATGAATGTAATGTAGAGTGAAAATGTATCTCTTAAATAGTTCTAAAAAAAAATCCTTGACACCATATATCTATTTTTAATGTAGTATGTATATGAAGTACTTACAATAAAACTGTGATACAGTTCCTTCTTATTAAATGACGAAAAATAAATTATCTTAAAAGGTATTTATGGTTATTGAATTTTAATGAAAAACTCAGAATTATAACTATTAATATTGTTTATAATTTGTTTTTAATATTGTTTTTAATTTTTTTTAAAGATATTATACTTAATATTACAAAAAAGGTTTACTTAATATAATGACAAATAACCCATTTTTCGCTAGTAGGTTCATATTTATTGGAATCCCTGTATTTATTAATCAGCTCGCGATAATATTGGTTTTGTAATTATAAACAATAATTCTGCATGAATCAAAGTAAATAATATAGATTTTTATAGGTAAATCACCCCTTTCATCACCCTACGCCTATAAGTATTGCGATGTTGTAGCTAAGAACCAAGTTCCCATCTACTTCTATAGGGGAATTCATTATAAACGATTTAGCTATTAGGCCACGGAAGCGCAACAAACAAACTCACTTTCGCATCTATAATATTATATTATACTTACTAGTGATCCACCCGGGCATTGTACGGGCGGAATTTATTTTATCGGGATAAAATATAGCCTATGTCACTCGGCAAAATGTATTTAAATAAAGAAAAATGTAGTAATAAATAATGTAGCTACCTTATGATGAATTAATATTTGAAACCGGTTCAGTAGTTTGACAGATTATTTGTTACAAACATACAAATCTTGCCTCTTTATAATATTAGTATAGATAGTTAGGATAATAGTATTTAATATTTTTTTTTTATACAAAAAAAATATATTGAAAATAAATAATTGCCATGATTGCACTATTTGCAATATGCGACATAAACGTCATTGATTCGTATTGTATATAGGGTGATTAACAACATTTGAAGTTAACTTCTGGCATCTATATTGGATTTCTGTGAATTATGTAGGTATATCAAATTATGACACTGCATTTGTGTGAATCACAATCATAAGAGCCGGACGTTGACATGACAATGCTGCCACTACCAATTTTAAATAGTCGACGAATAAAAGTAAATAAATTTTATATTTACTGCTAAACTACTAAAAAGAACATAAACAAAAGATGACTTTTTGAAGTGCTAGTTTACTATAAAATTTACATGCATTAGATATTTATGTAACGACTTGATTTAACTTCACACATTTTTGCGAAAATTGAGGCCCATCTGTAGCCTTGACCCCGCTGGAAAAGTCTCTATATGTCTTAATAAATCAATCTTTTAGACCACGGCAATAATTCCCGCGATATTAATTGCCTTACTGAAGTAACAAGACTACGGTATATACCGTCTTAAATTACTAACTAACTAAAAAGTGTGAAATAATAAAAAAGGTAAATTTAAAAAATCAAAAATCCCGACTGTTTAATTAAAAACTGAAAAGAAAAAAAAACAAGTCCAGTAGTCTATAATTCTGTTAATAAAGAACAAAGCTACTTTAACAGTCGGGACCCATTATTGAAAAATATTATGTATTCTTGAATATCTAATGGGTCCCGGCTGTTAAAGTAGCTTTGTTTCTTATTAACAGAATTATAGACTACTGGACTTGTTTTTTTTTCTTTTCAGTTTTTATTTGAAGTATAATTAAGTAGTCGGGATTTTAGATTTTTTAAATTTACCTTTTTTTTAGACCAATCATTCATCTATGGGTCAACCTATGAGCTTAGTATGAACTCAGTATGAAGTGAATTAATATTACAACTAATTCATTTTATTCGGTGCGATTTTAAAGAATAACTATTAGGAAAAACTTGGTAGGAATCATGAATAAAATAAAAACTGTAGTTTTGCTTTTTACTTATTGACTATTTTTCACATAATTGTATCATATTGTATATTGTATTTATTTGTATATCACATGTTTATTCTGTTAATATGTAGCGTGAATGTATATCAGGTGCTCTTGAATAATTTGGCAGTATGATCCTCTCAGGATGTTGTGGCACAGGTTCACTAGCACTTGGTAACAAGGTCTCTGTTCTTTGGTAACATCGATGGTATATTAGATAGGCGAAATAGTTAAATTAAAGAAAAAACAATCGCAAATAAACACACACAACAGGTAATCCGAAACGAGAATGCACTTTCCGGTATAATATACTACTCTTTGGAATGCACGAATGCCACAGATTACTACGAATGCAAACTGCCTGTACCACAACCACAAAGTATCGAGTTTTATGCCGGCCAATCACTTGGCAACAGTTTGTCCTTGTCATGCATAATAAGGAATGAAAAGGACAGGCTGATGTCACGTATTAAAATAGCAAATACGAATAGCCAAATGAAGTGCCGGCATTAGGAAGAAAGAGTGTTTTGTTTGCAGCGCTTTCATAGATTATGCACACAAAATGGTATTTATTGTCTCGGATTTTTTTTAACTTTTTAATTTAACTTACATAACTGGAAGTGTCCGTCACAATCTAAATATTGATAATAATCGCAAAAAATATACTAAGAATTATCATAAATGCCAAATTGGTGTTGGTTCTTATGCCAATTTTAACATTGTCCTTTTACGTAACTGTTTTGTTATAACTGCGACACTATTTTAAGAAAACCGAGATTGTCTACTAGTTACTATAGTTATGTAGTCACTATTTTTATGTAAAAGGGGAACATTTTTTTTATAAGTAAGTAATAACTTTTTCAGCATAGTATGCAATATGATTGTTCTAATATTAAGTGTATGCTTATGGTGGAGTACCATCAGTATATACTTATAGAGGTAATTTCCCATACAGGTGATTTGAGTGGAAAATTCACTTTGTCCTAGGACTCACTTAATATTAGAGCTACCATGCATACTAATCTTATTTTTATGCATGCTAGGTACTTACTGTTTTCTTACTTACCATGCAGGGTCACGCATTCATACTTGTTTATTCGGTGAGCAGTCGACAATCCCTCGAAGAGCTAAAGCCAATATGGCAGACGATAAAGGAAATCAAAGGTGCAGATTTACCCAACATACCAGTCATGTTGGCGGGAAACAAGTGTGACGAGAGTCCAGAGATACGCGAGGTATCGGCGGCAGAAGGGCAGGCGCAGGCGCAAACATGGGGCGTCTCCTTCATGGAAACGTCAGCGAAGACCAACCACAACGTTACGCAACTTTTCCAGGTAGGCATACATTTTAACACAAATATGTATTTGTATGTTAGCAAGTGCTAAAAAACCGGTGACTTGACCGGTTTTTTAGCATTTTTTTCATGCCGCAAATCGTCAGATTGAATGATGAAAATGGGTATATGGTCAGGCTTTGCGTGCCTTAATGTTATCACTACTTAGTATATAAAACAAATTCGCTTTCCACTGTTCTGTCCTTATATATGCTTAGATCTTTAAAACTAAGCAACGGAATTTGATGCAGTTTTTTTAAAATAGATACAGTGATTCAAAAGATATGTTTATATGTATAATACGTGCATAAAGTAGAGAAACACTGATAATTTCAGAGGATTCTAATGTGATAACGGAAATAAACTAATTTTTGGCTTGGCACACGCTGGCTGAACCCTACCAGATAGATCGAAATAATGTTCTACACTATTGTACACATTAAAAAGGTCTACAACAAAGTCGGTGATGGTATATGTCTATCTCTTAGGTATCCGTAAGAGTTACCCACAATAACCATTTTTTATCCTTTACTTTATGCGAGAAATAATGACTAAATTATGAGGCAATTTTAAACAATACAGCATTAATAATAATATTTATGTAGGTGTACAAAATATTCATTTAGATCGTTACACGAGCCCGGTTAGGGCATGGCAATGTGTTTTAGAGCTTGTTAATTTTTTTTATAAGTAAATATAAAGGACATTGGGCAAAAATGTATGGACGCTGCACCCACGTCCGCCACGGCTTAAACTACATTTGTTTGAAAGGTATTATAGTCATGATCATATGTGACAAAACGCATCAAATTCCATCCGGGGGGGTCTTTAGTTATTTTTGGTTCAATAAGTACAATACATACCTATAACGAACGAACATTAATAAAATAAGGGAATTAATTTAGTTAGTTCGACTACATAGAGGGCTCAGGTGTAATGGGAGTACTCCACAAGGTGCAAGGGTGCCCCTTTGTGTCATTCTGCCGCGTTAGAGTAAATCCGAAAACCCGCATGGGTTGGGGTTTTTTCAAACAGTCTGTTCGTAATAGTAAATTCTCTTCTATATAAAACGGAGCGACCACAAATCACACAAACTTGTCCACTCTTCGAAGAAAACGTAATTTCAGTTCATCCATACTAATTGACAAAACCGATAATCGTGTTCCAATGTCCAAAGCGTGTTAGATAAAAATCAATCAAGTGACCGGGAGCGCACAATCACAACGAAGTAAGACGAGTCGACAATTTGCAACTGCAAGTCCTTCAACCCCCGTAAACCGTTTTGAGGTGGTTCAGTAAGTGCAAGCGCAGATTGGTCGGCAGGCTTTGTCATCTATATCTGGTTGTATAGTATGATATGGCATATTATTATGGTTACTTATAATATAAAATGAAGGCACTATAAAGTGAATTTATTTAGCTACTTAATTTTTAAGTGAATTCACTTTACATGGGCATATTTAATATGCCCATTTGTCATATCTTTTGACTGCCAGGATATTTTTTTACGGTGTCATAATAAAAAAGGCTAGTTTTTCATAGATCTATCACTTCATACTAATTACATTGGCGGAGCTGGGTGCGTTTTGCCCATTGTCCTTTAAATCAAATCAAAATTAAAAAAGGGTTTATTACCTAAAATACATTGTGCATTTAATATAGATCAACTAGCAAACCCCGCGAACTCCGTTTCGCCACCAGATAGCTTCGTTTTATGTAACATTTCGTTTGGTGATTAAAAGAAGATTTTTTTTTTTAATTTTTCCTGAATTTATTTGCTATAAACCTCACGGAGCCCGAGACCTTTCCAACGAATGCAAAACCGTGGAAATCGGTTCGTGCGTTCTGGAGTTATAGCGTCAGGAAGGAAAACCCGACTTATTTTTATATAGTAGATAAGGCTCTTTACAGCATGTAGCTTATATGAATACTAGCGGCCGCCCGGGACTTCGTCCGCGTTAACTTTATTTTCCTATTTTATCCCCTTGGGAGTAAAATTGATCAAAATCCTTTCTTAGCGGATGGCTACGTCATAACATCTACCTGCATGCCAAATTTCAGCCCGATCCGTCCAGTGGTTTGGGCTGTGCGTTGATAGATCACTATGTGAGTCAGTCACCTTTGAGTTTTATATATATAGATTTTCGAAGATTTTACAGATTTAAAATGAAGGCACATAGCGGTTGCGGCGGTACCAACCTGAGGGCCGGCGGCCTATAAATAGGGTGTCGGGTTTTACTTTTTTATAGAAGCTATAGATTATATTACGTAGGGTATGTTTATTGATGAACTAAAACTAAGGACATTATCAAGTTCACGAAGCCCGGGGTCAAGGCAGGGTACGAGTGAAATGTGAAACATTTATTCGGTCTTTCGTAGTCTAGCGATTTATTAATCGAAAATCTTAAATGCATGATTTAAATAAAACTAAATATTTTTATAAGTTATTTCCGTGCGACGCCGGGGTGAGTCGCTAGTTTTATAGAAAGTTCATACTCACCTGCTGCAATCCTACTAATACTATAAATGTGAAACTTTGTATGTTTGTTTCTCAATTACACAAAAACTACTGAACCGATTTGGATAACATTTGGTACGTATAGTTTTTGACCTGGATTGAGACGGGATACTTGTTAATCCCGAAAACGTGATATGTTCCGGAGGGATTTTCAATAAACTTAAGTTAACGCGGACGGCCGCTAGTGTTCCTTATATTTATGTCACTTATCAGCAACTACGCGTTTCACGGTGATCTGTGCAATATCAATAATTCTTCATATCCAATGGGTCACGTTAATATATTTTTCGGTTTGAAATTCTATTTCTCATTTTTACAGGAATTATTGAATATGGAAAAAAACAGAAACGTATCGCTGCAAGTGGACGGCAAAGGAAAGAAAAAGAAGGACAAAGTGGTGAAAGATGGCGGCGAAGCATCAGCGAGCGGTAGGGAGAAATGTGTCGTCATGTAATATAATCATATTACGGTCTACCCACCGACTTTTAAATATTACTTACAGTCATTTTACTTCTAGTCGTTATATTACATGCCCTGAAACGTTGAGCACGGTTTTAGTCTTAAGTATTATTCGCATTTAAAAATAGTTAATATTATTGCCTTCTAAAAATATTGGTTCCCATTTAATGATGGAGCTTGAGATTCGATCAAGTCATATTTTGCTATTATTTAGTTTTTTACACTAGTTACATAATGATAATAATGACTGACGTGACAAAGATATGAAGAATAATTCCGATAATATTGTTAGTGCGAGAATACAACGAATTCAAGTCTTTAGGACTTACTGTTATTCAAGTTTATGCTGAGTGATAAGTAAATAAATAGTAGTTATGTTGGTTGCCTTCAAAATTTTGGCACTCTAAAGCAGTTTCTCATCACATAATTTGTCATCACGTCGACAGGGATGTGGGCAGCGTAAATGAAAAATGATAAGGATTAAACCTTTTTTTAAATATTTTAATAGACATTTGTCTATTACTTGACATAATAATTGAAATCGTAAGATAAGGTGCAAATAATTGTAGAAAATGTTAACGTTCTTCAGCAGAGTTACGATCCAATTAAAGTGTGGTAAATTTTGAGCTATTACACATTACGCCGTGGTTGCAGCACTGCGGGCTGCGCGGTTCAGTACCTTCAAATCAAATAATATGTTTTTTTGCAAGGTCCTATATAAGTGCGAGAATCGCGTGTCCTGAGGCAGGCAGCCAGCGTTAGCCCGTCATTTTGTAGTAATTCTTTGTTTTTCTTACGAAGCGGACGCTCAAAGAAGATAACGTACACATATTTTTACTTTAGAGAATGCGCACATGGATAGCTTTATTGTCGTCCTCCTTGCACGTGAGGTTTATGAATCCAATAATGGCAATATACACAACAGCCTAGTTGTTTGTATAGTCTATTTTGTTTAGCAAACAACGAAACTTATTAAAATCATGCAATTTTTCTAAACTAGAAAATAAATTAATTTACTGTATTTATTGGCCCCACACAAAAATTACAGATCGAGAGAAACATACGAAAAGCATCTTTATTGATATACGAACAAGACTGAAACTTGTCTGCCATCGCCAAGACGCGACGCGGTGTAATGTGTAATCATACCGCGATATAGATAGATTTGAGAATAATAATATGTTATTTCCGGAAGCTATCAAAATTCAGTGAATATGATTGTGATGAATTTTCGTTGGCCTATTAATGCTAGTTTATGAATCGCCAGTCCTCTATTATTAATTGAGCATAGTAAACATTTTCCGCTATACGTTTGATATTTGTATGACTATGAGACAACTGCTTTATCGTCGTAACAGTAAACAAAATAATGTCATATGCCATTGCCTAAAACACGAACATTTTTTGAATAATATGGTTTTGATTTTAATATTTATTCAATAATCGTATTAAAATTATGTAATGTCAAAGTGAAAACACTTATTGTGCCAAATTTATAGAATGAGTATTTGCACGCACCCTGTATGTTATGGCAGCCTGTGAAACTATTGAATAATCTAATAATTTTGTAGTTTAAACTAAGTCCGAAAATGAAGTTAATTTTATTTTGTTAAAAGGTATGCATTGTGTGCAAGTTCACATGATAGCGTGTGAAGTAGTCTATACAATTTAACATGCCGAGGTTATTGCTGCGTTATAAATAGTTTATTACGGAGCAATAAGTGTGAGTAAGAAGTTAAATTGTCCAGTGTCTGAAGTGTGACGTTGATGTAATGATAGCTTGGAATAGCTGACCTGTTTATCGATAGGTAGATCCTACTAAAAACACCTATTGTGCAAGTCTCAAGCCTTAAAAAGTATAATCCAAGAGCCTTGAGATTATCATTTACAAATAAAACGAATATTGCTTAATGCGCGGCCTCATTTCAACCGGCGCTATACCGTCATAAGTATACAGGGCGTCCCACGGCTACCTCATACGGAGGGAAAGTATATTAAATATTGAAGATAGGATATTTTACTGAAAGGAGACATCGTTTTATTTTTAATAATAACTCGAACTGCATTCACAGATTTTTTAAAAATCGTCTGCTACAACTGGGACTCAAACTCGTGAAATTTCGAAAAAATAAACACAACATATTTTATGATAACAATCGAAAGGGTAAATCATAAGGATTATTTTTTGTTAAATAACATAGCATTTTAAATGAAACGAATGTCTTATTACGTGATAAAAATAATAAAGTGATACACAAACTGTAGTACGTATGCATTTCTTTTTGAACTCACAGTTACAATGCGATTGACTGAAATTTGTAAAAATAATAATTTAAAATGGAACACATAAATTTTCAAGCGTCTTTTCTTTTGTTTTTTGTAAGATTAATTTTCTTTTTTTTCAATCTTTGTTAATTTACTTACCATGGGGTATTAAAATAAAATTGATTTAATGGAAGCCTACTTTATGAACCACAAAGACATATTAGCTTTGCGGTGGTACCGCGAAAGATACCCTGATAGTGACGTACCTTCTCGATATGTGTTTAAAAGGTTAGTGGATACTTTACGAAATTTATGACGTTTTGATATGCGCTTACCACAGCAGCGGATAATAAACATCAATGATGATGAACTCAACATTTTAACTTACTTTAAGGCGTATCCCATTTTATATTACTTTGTGTTTAATAATTTTAAATAAAATGTTAAATTAAATTACTTTTCTTTCATTTAAAATGCTATGTTATTTAGCAAAAAATAATCCTTATAATTTACACTTTCGATGGTTATCATAAAATATGTTGTGTTTATTTTTTCGAAATTTCACGAGTTTGATTGCCAGTTGTAGCAGGCGATTTTTTAAAAATCCGTGAATGCAGTTCTAGTTATTATTAAAAATAAAATGATGTCTCCTTTCAGTAAAATATCCTATCTTCAATATTTAATATACTTTCCCTCCGTGTGAGGTAGCCGGGGGACGCCCTGTATTGGTACGTATAACCAGATACATCAAGCGATGCAGATGACTTGTAGTTACACACACGTATGCGTAGGTTGCTTGGAATAGGGAATATTCATGATTTTTTTATATCATTATTTAGTAGTTTGCATCCACTTTATATAGTATACAAAAAATCTACACCGATAAATTTGTATAAAGCGACTAAAGAAATGTTAAAAAGAGTCACTTTGCACCGGCAGTTTAAACGCGCGCTATTTTGGTACGCTTGTATCTGACGTCACGATACATTAATCCTGCAAACAAGATCAATGACTAACAAGATAGTGACATTTTGCGTCCCATACCTTTACTGCGGTTGGAAGTTGGAACCTAGGTCAATCAAATAGAATTTGGAACTTACGTTATTCATATAGACGTTTCATACGTTTTTGGTAAAAATTTAAATGTCATAGTGAAAAATTGCACTCAGTCTCTAGGTGGAACGGGGCTTTGGCATTTACGCACTCACTATTATGTCGTTGACATTAGGATATCCTGTGAACATCACGTTCGTTTATTGTTAAATATATATTTTTATCTCACAACCACTATCGTCGCGTTTTAAATATTTGAATTACCCACAAGTTTTTCGCACATTTCTATTATTAATTTCTTGCTCGAAACGAAGTTTTATTAACAAACTAGTGGCCCGCCCTCGCTTCGCTTCGGTGTAGAGCTGAAGTGTATTCTACAGTTTTTGCTCTCAGGCTTCTATTATACACAATGACATTCATCTATGATTATTCTTATACCTGCATGACAAGTCTCAGCCCGATCGGTTTCAAATTGACAAAGTTTCATACAAACTTTCATTCCCTATTTTATCCCCTTGGGGGTAGAATTGATCAAAACCCTTTCTTAGCGGATGCCTACGTCATAACATCTACCTGCATGCCAAATTTCAGCCCGATCCGACCAGTGGTTTGGGATATATAGATACTGATGGAGAGACTACTTAAAAGTAAGACAGTTTATATAAAATATATAAAGTCTCATTTTGGCTTATTTGAATTACATGCATATTCCCTATTGTATGTTTCAGTTTATGTGTAGAGAGAAACTACCACTTTCGTAAATTTTCACAACATCAGGCCTTGCGAGGTGAAACCGTACCAGTTGTGGTGTGCGCGCTCTGTAGTTATTTGTAGTGGACTATAGATGAATGGGTGTAGATACGACCAAATAAATTGTTATCCTAATGGCGCCAAATGGTATAATATCCTTAGAGTTAATAAAACGCTTTGGCATTATATATTTTAATACAATGTATCTAGTCAAAAATTCGTATACATAATATGTTAGAAAAACTTAATTATCTAGTCATTACTGTTAAGTGGTAGCTGTCGCTAGTTTGTAATGCACTTTATTTAATTAATATCATTCACTACATATCCAATTAGATTTGTCCACAATTAAAAGTTTTAACTAGTCAATAACCACCGACGCGTAATTTATAGTAATATATAGTTATTATATGAAGAATGACAACGCTGAATTTTTATTTCGTGATATAGAGCTTATAGTTATACATTTGAAAGATATAATGAAAAATCTGAAATCAGACTGTAATGGAGCTCTCAGGTCTTTAACTATGAAATTGCCGTTTTTGATGAAATAAGTTAACGCTCAATTTTTTATTTTTATTAATCAAAGTAATTACTCATGCAATCAATGCATTTTTTCCAACATAGTGACAGCTTATTGATGACCTTTTTGAAAAAGTCGGAGCTGGACGGAATGCAAAAAATTCTTCAAAGCCATATTGAACTGCCTCTCGGTTATTGAAATTTTCCTCCGCTAAGAAAAAGTTGAAGTCTGTAGGGGCAAGTTCTGGTGAGTATGGTGAATGGCGGAGAACTTCCAACCCCAGCTCAGTTGGAGACCGTCTGCTGTGCAGTATGAGGTCGCGCGTTCTCGTGCTGAAGCAGCGGAGCCGAACGATTGACCAAAGCTGGTTGGAGATGTGCGAGCTTCTCCATCATTGTGTTCAG